GAAAGAGCACTGAAATATGGCATATCCAGATTGGCTGGCCCTCCCTTTGCAGCTTCTAGCATTCAGAAGTCTAGGATGTCCTGCTTGTGAGGTTGCAGCACTAACTACCATGTTAAATACCACTGATGGACCCATCTTTCATGAATTTTTCCAGTGCCTTTTTATGCTGATTAAATTATCAGCCTTTACAATGTCTTGTGGCAATGAGCTCCACAAGTTAATTGCAGCCTGAGTGAAAAAGATATAAAGCCATTTGCTTTATATCTGCTACCTGCTCATTTCATTGTATATCCCCTAGTTCTAATATTGAGAGGGGCAATAAATAGTAAATTGCTATTTACTTTCTCTATGCCATTCTGATTTTATAGTCCTCTGTTTTATCACACTGCCCCAGTTGTCTTTTCTTTTTCTAAGCTGAAAAATTGTAGCCTGCTTAGTTTTTCCTTGTACAGAAGTATCCTCATACCTTGGCCCATCCTTGTTGCCTTTCTCTGTACCTTTCTAGTTCTGCTGTCACCATTTTTGAGGTGTGGGGAGAGAAATCAGAACTGCATGCAGTATTCAAGGTGTAGGCATTCCCAGGGTTATACATAAGCATAATGACACTTTCTGTTTTTTCAATTACCTTTTTAATTTCTGGTAGTGTAAGAGTTATGTTGTAGTCGTGATGGTCCAAAAATTATAAGAGGCAGCGATTTCTTAAAGTGGTGTCTTTTATTGAACCAACTGTGTAGTTGGGATAGAGTTACACAAGCTTTTGAATGCATGACGTTCCAATCCAGTCACACGGAGAAAGGGGACTTGGTCTGGCCCTGTGACCTGGCCCCAAACCAGCTGCACATGGGGAGGGGGCATTGCCTGGCCCTGCGGAAGGAAGCTGGCGTGGCAAAGTCTCAACCTAGCCGGATGGAGGGAAAGGGGTGTGGCTCCGATCGTGCTGTGCGGTGGCAGGGTCATGGCCCAGCTCTGACCCATCCCATGGGGCTTGGGATTTTGGCAGTGAGGAGGGATGGCAGTACAAAGTGCCACTGCTCTCCCACCTCCAAATTTCCCATCCCATGGGCAATCCCACAGGCTGGATTCCAAGGCTCCATGGGCTACATTTGGCCTGCAGGCCAATGGTTGAGCATCCCTGGTTTGCACAGTTTTCTTTGTACAAGTATTTGATTTTCAGGCACTTGTGCAATTGGACAATTTTTATCTGTTTTGTTTTGTTTTTAAGTTAAAATGAAACCTTTTTTCCATGCTGGCCACAGAACAGCCACAGATTAGTGCCCTTTACTGACTGCTATCTTGGCTTAGAGCAAAAGGTTCCCCACCCAACTGCCAACTACAGTCCCAATGTAATTTAGTACCATTTGAACATTTTTCTCAGTGATAGATTTTCATTTTTGCAGTGAAAAAGGAGCCCAGGTTAGTCCTGCTAAGATCACTTATTCTCTTCATCCCTAAAAAATATACAGAAGACCAGGGTTCTCTTCTGCTTCTCAAAGTTTTTATTACTCACAGCAGTGGGTACATGACGTACATTGTGATATCATCTCATAGTGGTCAGTCCCAAGTCAGAGGTGCCGCGTAGTACTTTCAGTTCCCCGGGTGTTGTCAAGCAGGGGAAGAGGGTGTCAAAAGGGGTCGGGGGGAGGTGCTAAGTGTGCACCCATTTAGTACCCACCCTTCTGGCACCCAGAGATGATGCCCATGTTTGTACAACCCAAGCAGAATTTGATATTAATGAAATCATAGCATATATGGTTGGAAGAGACCTCAAAAGGCATCTAATTACGTACAGCTCGCACTTGAAGCCAGTGTCGCCTAAATCCACAGCCCACATACATTAAGCTCTGCTTGACAAGCAGAAACTGCTTTTTTAATTCAGTGACACTGCTTCCGTGCCTGATGGCAAGTAGCTGTATTTCCAAGGGAAAGGTTATTCAGGAGAGATGAGGGGCTCAAATATTCATATTGCAGTTCACATGTTTGAAGCTGTCACTTCCTTCAAGGCCTCAAGAAGTCCATCGGGAAGGGAAGAATAAAGCTGTTGGTGCCCTTGGAGAACCCTGCCCCCACTCCTGAGGCCTAAATGCACCTCAGCTTGATGTTTTCCACACAAAAAGATGCTGCCAAGCTAATGAATAGCATACTGCTGGGGAAGGAAGCCCCTAACAAAGCTTTAGAGGTGGTTTAAGAATCAGCAAGGGGGTATTGGCTTGGTTGTTTTTAACTCAAGGCTTAAGAGGGTGGAGAAACGTGTTTCCCTTTCAGAGGAAAATCGAACGCAGGTGGCCCTACGGAGAGAGTATATTAGAATACACTTACATTTGTTTCACATCTGACCTGTACTTTCAATTATTTTTAATAGTTTACTGCTTCTACACTTGCATACAGTGAATGTGGCTAACAACTATTGCCAAGCTGCTGTCAAATTGGATTAAACCCAAGACTCCTTCAGTAAAACTTCCTGAAGTGAATGGGTCTGTATTCAGAGCTGAGCCTCTGCTGACTTGCCCTCCTGCCTTTCTGTCCCTGGCTTCTGTGATTCCTGCTATATTCTATGTCCCTGTGTAACTACAGGGATGTTATTTGGTTTCCACACATCTAAATGAAGACAGATTTCTAGAAAATAATTATTGTAGCTTTTGATCATCTCAATATTTGCTATTGCAGTAGTTTATAGAGGCCTCAGGCTGGGTAAAGATGTCAGCATACAAAGTGATAGACAAAAGACAGGCTCCTGCCCTGAGTGTAGTGCTGAAATGAAGGCAGGACACAGAAACAGGATTTTATTACAGGGACGAGGAGAGGGAGAATATGGGTAATGGTGATAGCAATGTAGGGTTATACAGAACTTCCCTCTGCTGAACTAACAGCTTAAACCAATTTTTAAAATGCACATAAAGGCCAAAAAAAAAAAAAGCATCAGTGGTAAGTAACTTTTCTGTGTTCTTATATGGCTGACTTCAATGGAAATTGCCTGACTATTCTGAATCACTCTGTGCCCCACCCAGTTCTATATTTCTGTAATATTGTGTTTAAAATTTCCAGTCACAGAAATATCAGTACTGAGCTCTTTTCATTATTTTTTCAGTGGCATAAAGAGGGGGGGAGCCCGTATTCCAGATCCAAAGAACCCCAAACATAGGAAAGTTTAAACCAGCCAATATTTTTGACCAAGTTTCCACCCTAGGGTTATGCTCAAATTCTCAGAGAAGGGGAGAAATGTATCGTTGTAACAAAATCTGTTGAAGACATGAAATAACCTCTTTACTTAAGCAGAGTAGGCTTTCTAGAGCTTTTTAAAATAGCAATTATTAAATGTTAAACTCATGCACTGAAATAGAATATGTAAAATGAAATTAAATGATCTGTTTTAGCAGCTTGTATCAATCAAGAAAACACTTTCTATAAAATACTTTCATTGCTTTCTGATCCACAATAGCAGTCTTCTCCCTACTTATCTACCTGCATAGAAATAGAAATGATAGAAATGAAATACCTTTCTGTCAAAGTCTGCTGAAGCTACCTTATTAGACTATTTATTTGGTTGAAAAACTCTCTTGAAAAAACAGATCATAGCATCACCAAAGATTGTTATAGGTTAGATGTACAAAAGGAAATGCTGCAGAGAGCAACCTTACCTCACTGTAGTATCCATTCTTCAAGAGGACCTCTACAGCAAGGAGCAGGGGAAGCAACAGCCTTCTATTTTTATTGCTACAACTTCATCTATAAATTCCAACCACAAAGAGACTTAAATTCACATTTAATCTGAGAAGTACTATTTTTTAAAACACCCTTGCCCTAGCACTCAGAACTCCTGCTGGCATCTGCAGACTGCAGTGTCTGTAGAACAGGAAATCCTGTATTTTGTTTCTCTTCCCCAGTCAAAATCTCTGCAGTTACTGACGTTAAATCTAGGCAGGCGATGACGTTATTTTGATGCAAGTGAAGAGGGATTTGCAACGTTTGTGTGTTTTTCCAACAAAATTTGCTGTGACCCCTATATTTTATGCATTCCTTAAATCAGTCTGTATTGTTTTTCTCTTTGGTTTTTTGTCATTGTTGATTCTGTTTGTTTGCTAAAATTATTTTTAAAAATCCAATAATGATTAAAGACTAAAATACAGCTGAAAAATAATATGCATGTCTAAAATGAGTGGAAAATGTGAAATTTGGTTTTAAATTTCACATGCAAAACATTGTGGTTTATTGTTTGAAAGGGCTAAAAATAGCAACATCCAATATAGGCTCATAACATCATTGTCATTTCAGCCATGGCTTTTTTTCCTTTTAATATACACAATTTCTTTTCCATGGGCATATAAAAGATCCCTTCCTCAGAGATGGAAGTGTATACATGGATGGTGACACGTTGTCTTCTGGCATGTCAGAAAACACAGCATGTGTGCATTGCAGTTACTGTCAGTTGCTTGGTTGCTGGGATAATGCGATATGAGCTGCAATGTCACTTGCCAGGTCCCACTCTTAGCACAGATCACATGGCAGCACTACAACTGTCACAGTGCTTCCACTTAGTTCATTTGCTGATGAAAGACCAAAAGAAAAATCATCATTCTAAAATCTCCAGCTGGATTGGTTTTAGGGCTGTTTAGGACAGGCAGGTGCATACTGGAATACCATTATGGAAAAAAAAACCTTATAGAATTATAGAAAATTAGCGTTGGAAGGGATGTCAGGAGATCATATAGTCCAACCTCCTGCTCAAAGCAGGACCATCCCCAACTACATCATCCCAGCCAAGGCTTTGTCTAGCTGTGTCTTAAAAACGTCCAGGGATGGAGATTCCACAACTTCTCTGGGTAACCTCTTCCAGTGCTTTACTACCCTCCTAGTGAGAGAGATTTTTCCTAATAGCTAACCTAAACTTTCCTTGCTGCAACTTGAGACTTAACTTCACCTCTTTGGACCACCCTTCAAGTAATTAAAGTCTGTTAGTTAATTCCCCCTCAGTCTGAGACCCTGAGCATATCAAGAGTGACTACAGTGCTCTGGGTGCAAGGGTGAGGGGGTCTGGGTTTTAAATTGTGTTCTCACCATCCTTTTGGTCAAGGGAAAGGGCTGGCTGTGCAGGTGGTGTTGCCAGCAGGGATTTGGCTTCTTTGACCATGGGATGTTGATCCAAGAAGAAGGATTGCTGGGAAGAGATGGGATCCATCTGATGAAGAGAGGGAAGAGCATCTTCACAGACAGGCTTACTAGCCTAGTAAGGAGGACTTTAAAACTAGGTTTGCTGGGGGATGGACACCAAAGCCCTGATGTAGGTGTGGAAGCAGGAGTCCTGGAGGAAGAGAAAGCAGGAGGGGGCAACAGGGGATGTGTTCTCATACTTCCTGAGAAATCAGGGCAATCAACTAGTTACCTCAGGTGACTGTACAAAAATGCATGGAGCCTGGGAAACAAGCAGGAAGAATGGGAAGTCCTTGAGCTGTCACGGCACTATGACATGATTGGAATAACAGAGACTTGGTGGGAGCTTGCATGACTCGAGTACTGTCATGGATGGGTACAAACTGTTCAGGAAGGATAGGCAGGGGGAAGAGGAGGAGGAGGAGTTGCACTTTACGTAAAAGAGCCATATGATTGCTCAGAGCTCCAGTATGAAACTGGAGATAGGCCTGTTGAGAGTCTGTGGATTAAGGTCAGAGGGGGCAGCAACAAGGGTGATGTTCTGGTACACGTCTCCTATAGACCACAAGACCAGGAGGAAGTGGTAGATGAGGCTTTTTTCAAACAGTTAGCAGAAGTTTCCTGATCACAAGCCCTGGTTCTCATGGGAGACTTCAATCACCCTGACATCTGCTGGGAGGGCATTACAGCAGTGCACAGGCAATCCAAGAAGCTTTTGGGACAAGTGTTCAGGACAACATCCTGGTGCAAGTGCTGGAGCGGCCATCTAGGGGCTGTGCTTTTCTTGGCCTTGCTGCTCGCAAACAGAGTAGAATTGGTGGGTAGTGGATGGCAGTAGTGGATGGCAACTTGGGCAGCAGTGACTACAAGATGATTGTATTCAGGATCCTGAGGAAAGGAAGGATGGAGAGCAGCAGAGTAAGGACCCTGGACTTTAGAAAAGCAGACTTCAACTCATTCAGGGAACTCATGGTCAGGATCCCCTGGGAAGCCAGACTGAGGGAGGAGAGGAGTCCAGGGGAGCTGGCTGTACTTCAAAGAAGTCTTACGGAGTATGCAGGAATAAACCATCCCGATGTGCAGGAAGACTAGCAAGTATGGCAGAAGACCAGCTTGGCTTAGCAGGGAAGTCTTCAGTAAACTAAGTCACAAAAAGGAAGCTTATAAGACGTAGAAACTTGGACAAATAACTAGGGAAGAATATAAGAGCATTGCTCAGGCATGCTGGGATGAAGTCAGGAAGGCCAAAACACAATTGGAGTTGCAGCTAGCAAGGGATGTGAAGGGTCACAAGAAGGCACTGCGAGGAGAGGCTAAGGGACCTGAACCTGTTCAGCCTCAGCAAGCAGAGACTGAGGGGGGATTTGGTGGCTGCCTACAAACTCGTTAGGGGAGATCAGCAGCAAATAGGAAGGGCCCTATTCCCCCCAGCAGCACCTGGTGTGACGAGGAACAATGGCCAGAAGCTGCTGGAGAACAGGTTCAGGTTAGAGATTAGGAGGCACTATTTCACTGTTAGGGTGGCTAGGATCTGGAATCAACTTCCTAGGGAAGTGGTCCTCACTCCTACCTTGGGTAAATTCAAAAAGAAGTTGGATAAACACCTGTCTGGGATCGTGTGATCCCAGCATGTGCTCCTGCCAGTGGTGGGGGGTCAGACTTGATGATCTATAAAGGTCTCTTCTGACCCCAAACTACTATGAAACTATGAAGGGTTTCTACAAGTATGTCGGTAGATAGACCATATCCTCAAGGAATCCATTTCTAAGAACTTGGAGAAGAAAAGTGATTAGGAACAGTCAGCATGGATTCACCAAGGACAAGTTATGTCTGCCTGGCCAATCTGAGTGCCTTCTATGATGAGATTGACTGGCTCTGTGGATGTTGGGATACCACTGGACGTAATATACTTTGATTTTAGCAAGGCTTTTGATATGGTCTCCCACAACTCTCTTGCAAGCAAGCTAAGGAAGTAAAGGTTGCATAAATGGACTGTAAAAAAGCAATATCATGAGGTTCAATAAGGACAAGTGCAAAGGCCTGCACTTAAGACAGAACAATCCCATGCACTGGTACAGGCTGGGGAACAACTAGCTAAGCAGCAGCTCTGCCGAAAAAGACCTGGGAGTGACAGCAGACAATAAGATCAATGTAAGCCAACAGTGTGCCCTTGTTGTGAAGAAGACTAATGGCATACTGGGCGGCAGTAGTAGGAGTGTTGCCAGTAGATCAAGGGAAGTGTTATTACCCTTTATTCAGTATTTGTAAGGCCACATTTGCAGTACTGGGTCCAGTTTTGGGCCCCCCACTACAGAAAAGTTGTTGGCATATTGGAGAGAGTCCAGTGGAGGGCAATGAAAATATTTAGGGGTCTGGGGCACATGACTTCTGAGGAGAGGCTGAGGAAACTGGGTTTATTTAGAATTATAGAACATTAGGGTTGGAAATGACCTCAGGAGGCCACATAGTCCAACCCACTGCTCAAAGCAGGACCATTCTCAACTAGATCATCCTACCCAAGGATGATGTCTTGCCAGGTTCTGAAAAAATCCAAGAATGGAGCTTCTACCATTTTTATGGGTAACCTGCTACAATGTTTTACTACCCTCCTAGTGAGAAAATTCTTCCTAATATCTAGCCTAAACTTCCCGTGCTCCAACTTGAGACTGTTGTTCCTTGTTCTGTCATCTGCCACTGAGAACAGTCTAGCTCCATCCTCTTTCGAGCCCCGCCTTCAGGTGGTTGAAGGCTGCTATTAAATCTCCCCTCAGTCTTCTCTCAGTCCCCAAGTTCCTTCTCTAAGCCCAGTTCCCTCAATCTTTCCTCATAAGTCCTGTCCACCAGCCCCCTCATCATTTTTGTTGCCGTCCACTGGACTCTCTCCAATTTGTCCACATCCTTTCTGTAGTGGGGGACCCAAAACTGAACACAATACTCCAGGTGTGGCCTCACCAGTGCTGAATAGAGGGGAATAATCATTTCCCTTCACCTGGCAACACACCTATCAATGCAACCCGGTATGCCATTAGCCCTCTTGGCAACAAGGACACACTGCTGCCTCATATTCAGCTTATTGTCCACCGTAACTCCCAGGTCCCTTTCTGCACAGCTGCTACCCAGACAGTCAGCCCCCAGCCTGTACTGGTGAGTGGGATTATTCTGTCCTAAGTGCAAGACTTTGCACTTGTCCTTGTTGAACCTCATGAGATTTTTTTGGGCCCAATCCTCCCATTTGTTTAGGTCTCTCTGAATCCTAGCCCTACCCTCCAGCATATCTTCTACTCCCCCCAGCTTGGTGTCATCTGCAAAATTGCTGAGGGTGCACTCTATGCCATCTTCCAGGCTGTTGATGAAGACATTGAACAAAACCAGCCTCAGGACCAACCCCTGGGGCACTCCACTTGATACCAGCTACCAACTAGACATCAAGCCATTGATTGCTACTCTCTAAGCTCAGTGCTCCAGCCAGTTTTCTATCTACCTTTACAGTCCATTCATCTAGCCCGTACTTCCTTAGCTTGCCTCCAAGAATGCTGTGGGAGACCATATCAAAAGCCTTGCTAAAATCAAGGTATAGAACATCCACTGGTTGCCTCGCATCCACAGAGCCAGTTATCTCCTAACAGAATGCAATCAAGCTGGTCAGGCATGACTTGCCCTTGGT